GAAGTATAACAAGGGTATGCCAGTGGAGCACTCATTACAAGTACTCCTCCTGGTTAAACAACGATTCTAGAAAGGCGCAATTTGGTGATTACATGGATTTTCTGACATATTTTCTCCGGCTTCAACCAAAACCTACAGAGAAATTATCATAATTAACACTTTGATTTTCGAGATAGAAAAACTTGAGTAACAGACCAGACAAACTCACCTGAAAGACTACCAACATATAGAATGAACAAATAAATAGGTTTTGAGACGTCAAGACCGCTTATTCTTCACGCCCATGATGGGGAATGATAATGCGGTTGATGCATTTCTCGCAGAAGCCGCGCGCAACCTCGCCTTCGGAGGATCTATAACCAGCAAAAACTAAGAACTAGGAAACAATCGACGCAGGTGGTAAGACATACACAGGCAAAGGGCTAGCGACTGTTGACTGTGCGAGGCCTAGGACGACAACGCAAACCACAACAGATTTGAAGAGACGGGTCCAACGAGCCATGTCCGAATACTACTTGAAATTTTTCGAGTGAGTATAGGTGGAAAGTGCGAGACGAAGGAGGGTGAAGCTCGTTCTGAGTATTCTGTGGGGACAATCTAGTATTTATACGCAGCGGATCCAGGGGACGAGGTCGGACAACAAAGGGACTATAGTGTAGCCATCTTCCAAGTCTGTTATGGTGGTCGGATCTGGTCGGATGGTTCCAGGAGGACCCTTCGCATCATTGGAACTCCCGAAGCTTCCGATGGGGTGTTGAGAAAGGTTGAGAACAACTAAAACAACTTGCATTGAACAGCCATGGGTGATTTGCATTACCATAATATCATCAATAATTGTTGAAATATTGGAGCTGAAATAAACGAAAAGTTGAAACGCCCGCCGGGGCGAAATTAGTTGAGCGAAGATTTTCCAGCCGATGGAGAGTACCTGAGAGGACTCAGAGGTGTCATTACTCACAGTTATTAACGCGCCACCATCAAGGAATTCTACATAGTTTCGGATCCAGGATGAAATGGGATGAAATTCGTGTCTTCAGGAGTTCTTGAAGTGAGTCAAATTTTGGTAGTTCGGTGTAACAGTACTACGCTAAGTGGCGCTTGTAACAGGACGGCTATGCTGGACATGTAGTGGCCGGCAATTGATGATCAAAATATAGCGAAATACAGCTTCGAGTCTGAAACATTTAACTGCAGCCAGACTGCAGGCCCTCTCTGCTATTCAGAGACGTTATGACATTCTCCATCCCACTGCGCTCTATTAAATGTAGAATATATCCTGCGTATTGCTCCAATACATGCCTTACTGCATCCACCTGTTGACTCTGTTCGTGGAGTTAAGTATTGACTGACATAGGATACCCATACATATTGATTTTACCGGTAGGAATGGATCCAAGGGCTTTATCCCCACCTTGACCACCTGTAGGCGAAACAGTTTTGTATAGTTTGCTGGCTCTCATCGTGTATTTGACTTGATTTGTTGGTTCAGTCCAAGGCGAAAAGACCGAAGGAGACAGTCCCTTTACAACTTGAGTGTGACCACTCCTCGGCAGTTAACGTACTCAAATATACAAGGCAGCTAGTCGATGTTGGAAAAACTGAATCGGGACACTATGTTATAGTCATGTTTTGCTAATGGAAGCCTAGCTCAAAATAAAAGGAGCTTGGCAGCCGTAGAAAGAGGTAGATAATACGATTTGCGAAGAGGTTCCGCGGTTTGCCATCGAGCATCAAGTTTTGTGATCAAGCTGCTTTCTTGTACCTAACTGAGAATACATCTGCTCTTGACTGATCTTTTTTTCCATGTCATGGTTCATATCGACAAAGATCCTACCAAGAAACCGCAAGTAACGCTGTTGGACGGGCGTAGACATCGTCTCATCGAGAACACATGAAGAGGGAATATTAAGTCTCGGTGTTTTCTTTGATCATGGTATCGTTATTTCAATTGCAGCATTTCGATCGCTCAAATATTGTCATGCCCAAATTGAGTGGCTGAACTGTAGTAGCATCGCTCAGTGGCCACTCAATTAAGGCTCCTTCTACACGATGTCAAACGGTAAAATATGCACCCTAAGTATAATATATACATTGTGAACTTGAGGTTATTCCTTCACCCTCGCCTCTTCATGTGTCGTATTTTTCCCCCCCTTTCTTGCTTTTCAAAGATTGGAAATCTTCCAAACGTCTAGCATGGTGACATTTCTAGGTTCTGAAGACCTAATGTGACAACTTTTCGCAGTCAATGGAAAATAATCGGACCGGCACTAATTGCGGCATTTACCTCGATAGAATTGAGGCGTGAAGCAGAAGGAGACAAATATGTTCCCTCATAAAATCTGCTCAGTATCATGAGCTAATACGTTTTCCCCCTCATCTAGTGGCAGTCTTCGTAAGGCTTGATGCCTCGATGTTCCTGCGTTCTCTGTGGAATGTACCTCAGTCGGAGACGCTGCCTACCAACATGCCTCGCTGAAATTCATACGATCCGCACAAAGAGGTATTTCCACGATCTTTACCACGTTGTGCTCATCCTCTTCCCTGCCTCTATCGTTGGTGAGGTTGCTAGACCAATAAATGAGCTTCTCAAACAACCTCAACGAATAGTCACACATCCTCTGACACGGATTCATGACCAGCGGACCGCTTTCACTGTATCGATGGACAATTGGACTACCTGAAGACCAGTGCAAAGGTCCTCGAAGGTTTGACGTTGCTTGTCGTGCCCTAATAGCTGAAGGAAGGGGAGCTGACCTGTCATGTTGACTCCACTGCTGTCAGCTGGGTTATATCCTGACAAATGAGTTTCAACACTCGACTTTCATGCCTGGTGCAACGCTCGTTTTCTGCAGCTTACGCTGAACCTTGGATCATCGACGTCGCGTTGACATGGCGTACAACTCTTGAAATAGCAGGTGGCGTTTCCAAAGGTCAAAAAGCGCTAAAACTCAAATGAAGGAATATGATAGAGCAGTCTCAGTGAAGCCTTATGCAGCTGTTCTTTCTCCTCAGTCCGATCCGATGTTGATGATAAATCAATAGTTCGTCGTACTTGTAGCAGGCAAAAATCAACGTGCTGAATAAGCGTCTTCCCTCTTTGTCTTGACTTTCACGTTAAGCTCGTATGCCATTTGGAGAAATTGTTTGCGGTGCCCCTGGCTCTGGCAAATCTACCTACTGTCACGGCAAACATCAATTATTCACCGCTCTCCAGCGACCAATATACATCGTTAACCTTGATCCGGCGAACGATAATATACCGTATCCATGTTCTATTGACATATCCGAGCTTATAACACTGCAAGAAGTCATGGACGAACATGGTCTGGGGCCCAACGGAGGAATGTTGTATTGTATGGAGTATCTGGAAAAGAATTTCGATTGGTTGGAGGGAAGGCTGGCTGAACTGGGCAAAGAAGATAGCGAACTTGGGGATGTGTATGTTTTGTTTGACCTTCCTGGCCAAGTTGAATTAAGTACCAATCATGAGAGCGTGAAACGGATTGTAGATATGTTACGGTCGAAATGTGAATTCCGGGTGCGTGTCTCCAATATATTATTTCTTTTCGTTTTGAGCTAATGTACTCCGTCAGCCCAGCTAGCGGCGGTACACCTCTGCGACGCTCACTACGTTACTGATGCTGCAAAATATATATCGGTTCTGTTGCTTTCTCTACGGACGATGCTTCAGTTGGAGCTACCACATATCAACGTACTTTCAAAGATTGATTTGCTTGGAAATTATGGGGACCTAGGTCAGTTCAATTCCTTCATTCTGCTCAATTCAGTCATTCAATATCCTTACCTTCTTTCGTCTTCCTTGAGATTTCAACCTCGACTTCTACACCGAAGTGCAAGATCTTTCGTATCTCGAAAACTCGCTGTCGACATCTCTTTCGCCGCGATTTCAAGCCTTGAACATGGCAATAATTTCCTTAATTGAGGATTATAGTCTTGTCGGATTCGAGACGCTTGCTGTTGAGGTAAGGAGTGTTTCTCGTTTCAGAAGTCTGTCTTGTTGGGATCCGCTATGTTAAGTCGCGTTCACAATGTATTCCCGTTCACCCTCCGGGTTTCTTTTACCTGCCATTACTATGTCCGGCTCTTTCGATTGAGTACTCAGTCTTATTTCTCACTCTATCCTCTTCGCATCCACATAATTCATTTGTCCTTTCTCGAATAGGATAAATCTTCGATGCTCCACTTGACGCACGCTATCGACCGCGCGACAGGATACGTTTTCATTCCTCGGCCTTCCAACTCCTCTCCCTCAGCCAATTCTAACTCAAATACCAACCCCAAAGCCGCTTCAAACCCATCGAAAAATCCTCAACCCGAAGGAACGATCGATGAATCACACAAGCCACTTTCTGCACAGCCGAACGAGTATGGCCTGTTCTCGAGTGCGGTTGGACCGTTGAAGAATGCGCTAGGGAACCTGGCTAGCGGTGGTGGGAGTACAGGGACCAGGTTCGCTGGTGTGAAGGATGTATATGATGTGAGAGATGTACAAGTAAGTGATTCTGGCTTTCGATCTCTTTGAGGATGCACGGCGTATTACATCTTTCGCTCTTCTTCACATTCATTCATCGCTCTTTTTGTGCCCCTCATCTCTTTTTTTTGTATCTCTACTGACTCTTTGTCGACCCTTTCGCAGGAGCGCTGGCTTGATGCGAAAGACGCTTGGGATGCTTATGAGAAGCGGGAGTGGAGAAAAGAGGGAGAGATGTTAAGGGATGAAGTCGCTCGAATGAAAGTGACACCAACCGAGGGCCAGACTTCGATAGGAGGAAGTGCGGGTTGAGTACTTTTGACGGAGATCGGGTTATACGGTAGAGTTGGTAGAGTAGATGTAAAGTTGCCTTCCGTGGCAGGGCTAGTATCAACATTATCCGCAGACTAGCGTTTAGTTTCATTTTGGATTGACTTTTCTTGCTTTAGGAAGAAAAAAAAAAAGAGACGATCTCGAGGCCAAAACAATTTGGTACACTGAAAATTCACGCTGGAAGCAGGATTTGAACCTACGCACTCAGAGAGTAATAGATATTTGACCATTCGATCACGAACATTATTCAAATCTATCGCCTTAACGACTCGGCCATTCCAGCACAGTAAAACAGTTTTCTTCTGTGAATGACAACTCCCGCGTCAGGATATAGTCCAGGAATAGCAAACGCAGAGTACACTTCCTCCTACCGCTCATAATCAGAATGCTTAACGGCTGCAAAATCAAGTGGACTAGAGGAATGAGAAGGCGTTCAAACCAACCGAAAACCGAAGTCTTTCCTGGCATGCTTTCCATAACGCGAACCAGCCCAACCGGCGGCGGCGGCGGCAGTGGCGCATCACGTTAATAACGAGCATCAGTCATTGCCCAAGATCCCTCTCATACACTCTGTATCAAGCGATGGATGAAGACTTCCGTCAGCTAAAAACTGGCGAAATCGGGTGAAATTAGGCGAGATATTCTCTCTAGTAGCTCTTTGTATCTCACTTGACTTGACTTTTCTCTTCTCTTCGTCTCTCTTGCCGCAATACGGCTCTTTAATGCTCCTATAATGCAGGTCAGATGTTGGAAAGGACGATATCTGAGCCCCGCAAGTGACAAACGTTCCAAGCCTTTTCTTCTTAGAGCTTGAAGGGCTTCCTAAGAGGAAGGAATCTTGGACTATGCCATACATTCAATGTTGGCACCTTGGAATGATTTTGAGATTCTATGGAGTGACTCTGTGAATCTACGGATTAGCAATCTCGCCCACGTCAAGAATTCGTCGATGTTTTGCCTAATCCCTCAGTGCCCTAGTTGCCTCAGCACCTACACGTCAAAGCAAGTAGACCAGAGCCATAATGTATAAGTACCCCGAGGAAGAAACCAGGGAAAAAGCAGTTCCAGAGGTTTTCTTTGGATCTTTCTTCCTATAAAAACCTCTAACAAAGGGATTTTCAACTTGGTCACCAGCAATGACTATGAAATTGCTCTTCCTCGCTCTCACAGCGACCATGATGTCGATGGTTACTACAGGGAATGCTCTGACCTGTTCTATAACTTGTCCTTCCGCTATCTCTCTTACTGGCTCTTTGCCTGGCGTATCCACATTGCCTATTCCCATACTTTCTGGTTCGGGTTTGGTGAACGGCCAACTCCAATGCAAGTGAGTACACCTCAGTTCAATCAAATCACACATCGATCCATTCCTCGTTTGATAGAGTACTCACCACCATTTTAAAGTTATACAGCTACTCTTCCTGAAATTGGACCCCAGATTGGAGTTACTTGTTACTATGACGCTGTAAGTATTTCAGGTTTATCAAGTCAAGCTACTGTGCTGTGTATTTTCCACCTATTCCTCTATTTCTTTTTTCTTTTTCTTGCTGTACTAACAAGCACTTGTGTTTGTGACATAAAGTCTGGCGGAATCAGTTTCGGTTTGCCAATTACTACCGGACTTCCTTTTAATGGAAGCGCTAGTGCAGAATGTCCCGACATAGTATTGCCGACGTCCTGTTCTACTGGTCTCCCTACTGGTCTCCCTACCGGTCTTCCTACTGGTCTTCCTACTGGTCTCCCTACCGGTCTTCCTACTGGTCTCCCTACTGGTCTTCCTACTGGTCTCCCTACCGGTCTTCCTACTGGTCTCCCTACCGGTCTTCCTACTGGTCTCCCTACCGGTCTTCCTACTGGTCTCCCTACCGGTCTTCCTACTGGTCTCCCTACCGGTCTTCCTACTGGTCTCCCTACCGGTCTTCCTACTGGTCTCCCTACCGGTCTCCCTACTGGTCTCCCTACCGGTCTTCCTACTGGTCTCCCTACCGGTCTCCCTATTGGAATGTAAGTCTCTTTCCCAGACTGATGTCAAAACTTTGCAACTGACATGCTTTTGTTTCGATTTTGCAAACAGTTAGTCTCTAAGGAAAGGCCGTTGCGTTATTTGAAGCCCAACGCTATGGTTGTTGATTGTTGATACTAAGTATATCTTGATTCTCGACTCGGAGGGTTAAAAAAACAAGAGGAAAACAGAAAACAGAAAACCAAAGTAAAACCTCGAGTGTTGGCAGTCGGGATTCTTTCATTGTGATAATACTTATGTGCTTGATATATGTGCTTGTGAAGTTTGAATTGTCTTGTATGTGATGTTCTTTGTTCGTACTGATGCACATTTCACCCGCCGTTAATGAGCTTTTGAGCTTTGTGCACATAAAGCGATCAGCACCCCCCTTCGTTCCAATTGGCAAGGTCGATTACTGCCAACTACAAACTGTTCGGATCTATGAGCGGGAACTCGTAAACTCCAGAAGGCTTCGTTGACTTCTTGGGTCCAAACAATGATCAACTAGAAACATAGAAGCCTGGTTTCTTGGTCTCTCTACCTCTAGCATTCTCTATTTCAGGGCCTTTTTTTATTGGTCGGCTGGCACCATGACCATGAAGCTGCTCTTCCTCAATCTTGTTGTCTGTACCAACGCAAACATCAAGTTATGCTCTGCGACAGACTCGCAGCAACTAACCACTATCTGTGCCATCTGTGAACATGCCTTCGTTTTCGATGGCCTCAATGCCACAATATCTTCAATAGTGAAAGTAGGAAATGATGCTGTCCAGTGCGAGTAAGCCCTGGTTCATTCACTATCATCTTTTGTGACCCAGCTGACGATATCGGTGCTCTACTCTAACTGTAATTTCACTCAGTTATGCTACGTCTTTTGTGGATTTACTCTACGCCTACGAAGTAAATACTTTGTTTCTGTGTATTATATCTCGAGCACTGGCTGTACTGAACTTTTCAAGAACTCGAACGGGACGCTCATCGACTCCAGGACTGCTGGACCTGATAACAAGCATAACATGCCCTGACTTGTCAGGGCAAATCTATCCCACCTATCACCTGTTTGATCCCTAGTCACTCTAAAGTACAGGTGTGCCCCGTCGCGACCGGTAGTGTGACACTATAAGAAGCGAACTAGTAGGGACAAGAGGGGACCACTGGTCCCTAATCCCTACGTCTTATTCTCAATGTACACAAGTCTACCGCGACACATGTTCAGAGTGACAGTCCCACAAAGCTGATCGTAAGCCTTTACCCTTGTGCCTCGGACCTCTTGTGCCTGTAGTCAAAACTGATAGGTGATATTGGGGACCTGGCAGAGATAGATAAAGCTCCACAAGAGAAGAATTAAAATGCTATTCTCTTCAAACTTTACTCTTGGGTCACAATAGACCTAGCTGTGATCATGAAACTTGCCTCGCTCGCCCTCGTCGCCACCGTCATCTCAACTGTGTCGTCGGTTCTCACTGCGGACTCTCAACAGGCCACCATCTGCGCCGTTTGTAGTAAAACTATCGCGTATGCCGGATTGACTCGCACACTTACTCTGGCAAAGGAGGAAGAATCTAATACCCTTCAGTGCAAGTAAGTTCCCGGTCCTTCAGATCCAGAGCTCACCTACTAAAAAACGTTTGTTTTGTTTGCAAGTTATGACACACCTGCGATTGCTGGTTTCAACCCAGCTTGCCTCTATGCGGTAAGGACCCGATGTTCCATTTCTATATAGCCCTGCTACCTTCCTGAGGCCCTGTACTGACGAGTTGCATTTGGTTTTTAAAGAACATCGGTGGAGACTTGATCTTTTCCAATGCTGGTAGTGCGTGTCCTAACCCGGCGAGTACGGTTGTACAAAGTGCAACCTGTACCACAGCACCTTTGTGAGTTTTTCGCTTTTTGTCTCTGAGCTCTGCATCTTTTACTCCCGGATAACCAGCTAAGGACTCCTTACTAAAAACCTATGCCTGTTCACGTTCCATGATTGCTGAAGAAGGTTGAGACTGTTCTGTTGTGCTGTAACTTGGTTTTATATACGCTGTTCGCTGGGCATAGAAATATGATTCCTCAACTATGTGTTCCACCGGTTGTAGCTTGCACTGCAAACAACCGCGTCGTCTTTGGAACTGTCCTTCGAATACAACTAAGCACAGAAGGATAGTAAATAGAGTAAAGGAATAAAAGTCTATATCCGCCAGCGTAAGCCTGCCTGTCTCACTGTGTGATTGGGCACTTACCAATCCCGGACCACAGAGTTGCTTTCAGTGTCTAAATTGCAGGCTACTTAGGCTTGCAGTCCGGTTTGTTGTTAGTGTTGTTGGTTGAAGCACTAAAGCTTGGTTGGGCACACACACCCAAGTTAAACACTGCAAAAGCCGGGAAAGCGCGCGCAGTACTTCACTTCATTTTAATCCAGTGATTCCCTCGGGGTCGATAGATCCTTTCTACCTCGAGAACGGAGTCGAATAGAACTGAAGCGGTTTCAGACTACGAACGACAGGCGAAAGCACTTCGCCTTAAGAACAACTCACGGGTCTACGTCTAGATGACGGCCCTGATAATGAGGACTTAAGGAGAGACAGGGAAACACGCAGAGAACGCGTTATTGAAGGTCGTAACCACTCCAGCTAGTAGCCCGCCTCTGAAAAGAAAGGTGAGCCAACGTTGGATCGGAATCTTTTCCTTCTCGTTCCCAGTAGAGAAGATGTGTTTGGCCATGCGAGTTCTCTGTGACTGGACACTGAATATCAGAGAGAATAAAGCAGCAAGAGCGGGTCGCATGTCATCAGAGCGGTTCAGCGACGAGTTTGTATGGTTGATGCATGTCCGGCCAACAGCCTATTTGGAAAGAGTACTTCGTCCTAGCTACTACTTCCACTTCCAAAGCATTGAGAACCTGGTTTCAAAAGGATGAACAGCGGAACTTGCTCTCTCTGGATGAAATTGATCGATTTCAAAAGCAAGGAAAGCGATGGTGGTTTATTACACGTGTAGACAGATTGTACATGATATTCAATGGTCGCAATGAAATAACAATGTCCCAATTACTCCTGCATAGCATCGTCGCTATCCTCATCACTATCTTCATCCGAATCTTCTCCCTCCGCAACATCAATCTCTCCCAACCCAATATCATGATCTGCACCGACATACGAATCACATATCACATACAACTTCAAGGGGTGTTTTCCTTTCGGCAGCGTAAATTCGAGTTTGACACCTAACGTTCTGTTCACTGTAACGCGCTTGATGACTAAGAGCTGGCGAGTAGAGGGTTCGCCGACGACCAG